AACTAAATTTTACATTTTAAAATGACAATACCAGGCAGTCCCAGGTCTCTCTCCCAGCTCTCTAACTGCTTGGACTAGCAAGGAAGCAGACAAGCAGCCTCTTCACTAACTGAAAGTTTGAATTTCTCCACTTTCCCTGCCTTCCCCGCATACTAGGTATGCTAATATCTGTGCACTGGAGGATTGTGGGAGGAACATCCAGCCCCTGATGGGGGTCCTGTGGTACACCCCAAAACACTGAGTAGCTCTCTTGGCCTCTTTTGGCACTGGGGCTGTGCAGCCCTGTTCTGATCAGGAGGTGCAGCCAGGGGGTCACCATGCCTTTGGGGGACAGGGCACAGAAAGGGGCAGGAGGTTCAGAGGCCATTCCAACTCATACCTGGCAGGGGATATACCATGATCATCAAAGTGGTTTTCCTAGGGTGAGGCTTATCTATTGCACTTTGGATGTGCTGACACCTGTGATTTTCCCAACTATGGGAAAATCAACTGCCTAAGTGGGGGACTGTGTTTGTGTTTCCCCTGGTTTTTCTAGAATTACTCTTTCCCCTTTTGTCCTTGGCTGTTTTCAGTGCCTGCTGCCATAGGCCTGTTGGCCTTGCTGGTTTTCCAGGTGGGCTCCAGAAAGCAGATCCTAGAAAGCCAGCAGTGCAGAATGGCGAGGTCCAAACAGCAAGACTCTGGTGCTAGTTCAGAGGCCTCCCAGCATGGCAGTGGGAGGCTTCTGGGTGGTGGTGGTTGAACCCCCTTTTTACTGTATTCATTCCATAAGACATACATACTTTCTCCCCCACTATTGGGAGGGTGCGTCTTATGGAGCAAAAAATACGGTACATATTTCTGGAGGTTTTTATTTAGTATAAAAGTGAATCAGTGGATACTGTCACCTACAGATATGTGAGTCCTACTGTACTATGCAGTTCGATAGGTCTTTCTCTAAAGGAAGATGGCATAAGACTGCAGCCTACATCTAATAATCCAACAACAGAACAATTTTTATTAGAAATTATTCTTTTAGAACAATAGAAAATTGGTCACAATTCAAAGGAAAATACAATTCAGTAATATACATTTTCATTTAAATATAAATTCCTGGAAATACTGATAATAATTTTACTTCATGTTATATAATTTTTTAAAAACTTACCCCATGCTTCTGAATAGCAACATTTGTAAGATGCACAAACATGTTATCTAATTCACTTGTACTTGGTGTATATTTTACTGTGCAAAAGCGACAAAATCCAAGTTTATACCTTAGATACAAAAAAAAGACACATTAGCATTTAAATATTTCTCTCTCTCTCTCTCTCTGTTGACAACTTTCTTGATCTTCATGGATCAGCTCTTGGCATCTACTTTGCTATCTCTTTGGTACCTATTAGAGTTTTTTAAAATTTTCCTTCATCTCTATTGTATCCTTTTCCTACTACTTTTTCTACTCTTTTTGCTTTGATTTAATTGTGGGTTTACTGAATTCTTTATTGTTTCAACTTGTAAATGTATCTGAAAACTTTATGTAGCATATAAATTCTTTAAATAGATAACAAATGAAATATTTTGGGATCCAATCGATGAACATTTTCCTAGAACAGTTACTTATGCAGCCAACATGGGAAGGAAAGCCAAATCCACTGCAGCCATCACAGCATCCTGAACAATAACCTTGACTATGAATTTATCTTGGTCTCACAATGGGAAATATATCAGCACTTACTTATTGCCTACAAGGGCTATACCACACTGAGGACCCAATCTGCATGCACCTACCAGGTAATACTTGGCTGTTGGCTTCCACCTACCAGGTTATACCTGTCTGTTTTTCTCTAGCATACTGTACCATTTACAATCAACCTTCAGCTTTTCTGATATGAGGATAGCCATGTTTCTCAACAGTTCTCCTCCCAGCCAAAGACAGGAACTGTCTGCTTCTACAAATGGCAGAGGGAGTACACTGACAATTGATTTTATATCCCCTGAGGTAAAATCTGATACCTGAACACTTCAATTTGATTCTTCACATTTGTAACTTTAGTTTTAACTTCAGATCCTGTAACTACAATCTCTAGCTGGGATGCTTTTTTGCATTTGCCAGTTTCTTTCAAATCTAAAGCTCTGCAATGCTCAGTCTAAACAGTCTTAAGAATCCAGACACTAACATTTGGATCCCAACCAACTAAAACAATGAACAAGTTGACAGATTTTGTAACAGAGTAGCAAATGAGACCAGCTTTATCTATTATTATTATATTATGTTCTGTTGTTTTGTTCTTATTCTCTTAGCCACACAGAGTAGTGGCTCTGCCACTAGTTGGGCAGGATAAAAATGTAACAAACTAAATAGGAGGAAGGACAAACACAATATAAGATATATTTTCCACAGTGGAAAAGAACAAACTTCTGACAAAAAAAAAGTTCTTTAAAAATGTGCCCCATCCTACATACATACATTTCTTGATACAATTTTTTAAAGAATGTTAAGTAGAAAGGCTTTAAATTTGATTGAATTATGCATCCTTCTACTGTACATTGTCAATATACAAAATGAAACAATATGCAAGAGAGAAAACTTGAAATGCAAATTCCCACAAGTCTAGATGAAAATTGCTCTCTGTCTCCTTTATTGATAGAGAGAGGCTTTATTAGAAAACAGAAGAAGAAAAGACAACTTACATATAGCACCTCAGAGGACGGTAAGTTGACACTAATACATAAAGACGAAGATCAAATTTTTTCCCACCAATTAGCAGCGGATTATTGATATACAGAGAAATTACATATGCTTCTTTAGAGGACTGAGATACAAACCTAGGAAACATAATTTTTTATTCAAAACATGCTACTTCATTAAATTGTTGTCTACTTTTGAAACCAGCTACAAAAACTTAAAAATGGGGAACCTTTCAGTGTGAGCGCCACTTTCCCTCTCACATCTTGAGAGTTACATTGCCAATAAGGGGACAAGGCAACATCCTACTCTCTCTCTTCTCCCAACCTGCTTTGTCCTTAAGCCACTCCTTCTGTGGAGAGACGGGGTAAGTGATGATATAAAAGTGTACATTATCCGTCATCACCTGAAAAACTTATTTTGGGGGGCTATAACCCCCAGGATTGCCTTGTCACCATGGTCTGCAGCCATGTTGCCTTGAGAATTCTGGGGACTAAAATCTAGAAGCAACTTTCACAACCTCAGCAGTGTTGCTTGTTTGTCTGCACTAGTAGCTTGTTGCATTTCCATACGGCAAATGCAGAAAGGCTATCCCTTTCTCACCACAGAGCAAGCTGATGATGCACAAAGTGAACAGTCTCTTCCTCGACTGCCAGACCACCCCACTCTCTATGGTGCCCTGGTTTCATTTCTTTGCATTATAACTGCTGCCCAAAGATCAGCTGAGTGAGACTGTAGAGGGATGAAATTGATATCTACCCCTCCTCAGCTCACCAAGAGGCAACACCTAAGAAGAAGGGCAAGGGGATCATAGCTGTGGAGGCATAGGTACCAAGAAGAGTGGTCAGGGCTTGGGAAGAAGCAACTGGACCAAACAGAGAGTTCTGGCAAATCACATCTGTCTTCTATACTAGAGCTACATTTTCATGCTTTAAGCAAAATTGACAAACATCTACTACGCAACTGCATAGGGCTACTTAAGACTATCTCAGTACTATGAACATTTAAAATAAGAAATGACTGTTGAAGCACTTACAAAAGTGAGATCACATGACTGCATTGCTTGTTCCTGCCAAAAAGAGGATTATTTTTGCTCCCCCACCCTAATAATGATACTTTGCTACTTCCTAATGCTATGCAGGCCTTGCTTTAAAAAGAACACTATTTATTACTAGAGATGGGTGTGAACTGCCACTTTGGTGGTTCATGCCAGTTCATCCTTTGAATGAACAGGCATTTGGCAGTTTCAAGTCCCGCCTCCTCTGGCAGACGCCTACTCGGAATCAGTGCCTTGGCTTCCCTGCCCTGCCTCCTCAGAATAAGCACCCACTGGAGGAGGCAGGGCTGGGAAATGGCAAACATCTCTGCATCCAAATGACAAACCAGCATGAACTTATGAAGTGGTGGTTCATGTCCATCTCTAGGACTTCATACAGTAAAGATGGAAGAATCAGTGCCACAAATATAATAAATATTGCAGGCCTCATTCTTTTATATATTTTGGTCTAAATTCCTTTCAATTTGACATACATGAGTACTTGTTTATCTTTAACCGGTAACATCCTTAAAGTCATTTTAGAATGAAGACAATAAATGGCCTTCTAAGTGGAACATCACAAATTCCTCCAGATTTGATAAGCTTTCTTAAAGGGAATTTCTCTCCCCTCCCCCATTGTAACATACGTAGATGTTTTGCTGTCCCGGGACCATTTTTTAATTTGTGAAAGTTTATTAATAAGAAATATTCCTTTTCCTTGAGCTTTTCCACAGGGTTTCATAATCCAAGTACTAGACGGATTTTTTCGGAATTCTTCAACAAACAAATTATAATCAGCTGGAAGCATGAAGGTAACAGGAACAAAGTCTAAAAAGTACATAGGAAAACCAGGAGTTAACACAGCTCTGATAGATATTGTATATAGATCAAAACATAAAACTGAAGAGAAAAATATTTTCATTATTTGTTTTAACTTAATTTCAATTAAGACCAGAGATGGGCACAAACTGCCAGTTTGGTGGTTGGTATCAGACTGGCTCTCTGACCACACAGCTTTTCTGTGGGCACCCCAGCTTCCCAGCCTTGCCTCCTCCAGCAGGAACCCACTCAGAGACAGCGGCATGGCTTCCCAGCCCTGCCTCCTGTGGTGGGTGCCTGCTGAGAGACAGTGCAAAGCCACATCTCTGCCTCTGAGTAGGTGCCCAGCAGTGAGGTGGGTCTGGAAAGCTCAGGCACCCATGGAACAGCTGTGTGGCTGGGGTGTGTGTGTCAAATTGGCATGAACCGCCAAACAGCAGTTTGTGCCCATCTGTAATTAAGACAATGACAGTGAACATGGTCCATCATAAAGGTATGGTATTCCTTTTAAATTTGAGAATAAATGGGAGACTGGATCATTCTGTTTGTTTCTATTAATATACAGTTCAGGAAAATTACTTCTAGAAATAAACAAAACAATTCTTGGGAGGCTAATAAACAGCATCCCATCATCACCCTCTAGGTTCTTTTGCTAGGAAAAAGTGAAAGCCACTGGATAACTGGTCCAGCTAAGACTAATTTTTCTCCACTTTTTTCAATGATATACCATGTATCATTGTATCAAATGCTGCTAAATGTTCTAACAGTATTAGTAAGGATGATTAATCTTTGATCAAATGACAAAGCAGATTATCCACCACAGCTGCCAGAGCTGTCTCAATACCATAGCTAGGGTCGAACCCAGACTGAAAGGGGTCAAGTGCAGATGTGTCCTCCAAGTATTTCTGGAGCTGCTCTGCCCCTATTTTTTCAATAACCTTACCCCAAAAGGAGAGTAAATGGACATACATCTCTTGTCCACAGTACATTTTGTTAACAATTGTCATATGATGGCTGCTCTTAAAGCCACTGGAAAGACACCATCTGAGAATAAGGTATTGTTTTCGGTCAACAGAGAGTATCTGACTTTCCACAACTAGGCCCTCAGCCACAAACATCCAGATCTCAGGTGGTAGCCTTCACACACCTAGAATGCTATCAATATCCTAACAGTATCTAGTTAATTGCATATTTGATCACATAGTTTGAACAGACATATGGCTTAGCAAACTGTGTAGTTTGTTCACAATACACAGAAATCCAAATCTGAGTGCCATGCCACTGACTTATAAAGCTAAACCATTCAGCACATCTTGTATTTAAGTACATCAACAAATAGTTCCAATTGGCTAAATTAACTCACCTAAATAAAGGTATTTTCCATTTTCATCTTTCTCTGCAAGAGGACTTCCTTCTTTTTCTAGTTCTTTTCTGTATCTCTTGATATTTTTTACCATTAAGTCCTTCCGAGTGAGCTCATAATGGTTTGGAAAATGGTTGACAATCTGATCATCAGAGAGGCGGTAGCCAGTTTCCACACTGAAAACATTTCGAATAGTTTGCACACTCATCCTGGGAAGCAAAACGTGGTAAAGAGTTTCTCTCCAAATACACGTAATTTATGACTTCAATAGAAACAAATTGGTCCTTTGGATTAAACCTTACCAGAATAAAAAGTGATCAAAGATCTTTAACAAATCTCTAAAGAAATCAGTGTCACTTGTGCTATCATGACTACCCCCTCCTCCAGCAGCTTTTTGCTTTTTGGAAAACCTCTTTGAATTTGGACAAACTAAAAACTGGATTAGATTGGACAGATGCATTATGGGCTAGGAAATCCCATGAAGCTTTTCTTCTGATTCTGGGTGATGTTTCACTTCCCTGCAGGAGTTGGACACACAGTCTGGAAATCCTCATGCCACCCCCACATCTATGGAGGTAGTGACAACCAGGCATGCTTTTTGTCAGTTTAAACTGATTTGCCAGCTGTAGCCGTACCTAAAGAAAACTGACCTTGCCTCAGTGACAAACATTAATCCAGAACAATTATTATAATGTGTTCACTATGGGCAAGCCTTTAAAGATGTTTTGGAAACTGCAATTGGTATATAACACGCAACAGGTAGAATGCTTATAGATACCAACTAGATCATGTTATATGAATTTTATGACAGTTACATTGGCTGTGTTCTCATTTCTGTGTTCAAACTAAAGTGCTCTAAACACTTTTCCTTACACTCATACAGATGGGCTTGATAAAAAGGCTAGAATCTGGTTGATTTAGGGTTAAAGTGCAATCATGCAAGCACTACCTGTTGGAAGGAAAGTTGGGAAAGAAGAACAGGGATTCCACCCAGAGAACAAAAAAAAAAGAACAAGGATGGAGCATGTCCTTTGAGCTTCCTGTTAAGAGTTTTATTTGCAACCTCTCATGCTGTCTGTGGTTTGTGTGACTGGGAGGGACTTTTTTGGGCTGGGGTAAGTGCCCATCTATCCAGCACTAACCAATTGTTCCTTCTAGCTTCTGAAGTTCAAAGAAAGCCTATGGACCACAAACTTTTTAACAATGGATACCCAGATGCTACTCAATGAAAAATTTTAAAAAAATCAATGCTACTTACCAGTAGAAGTTCCAGTCTTCATTTTCTGACACCTGGATCCATCCTCTCTTTTCAAAGTTGTTTATTAGCACAGATTTCTCTATATCAGTCACCCATTTTACTTTTCCTGCCATTATCCTAAACAAAATCAATGTATTACTATTATTCAGTTTATTTTTAAGCATTAAAATGACAACATTTTTTTTCCAAAAGTGGTCCATGGACTGCAAATTCCAGTCCTCTAGAAAGGAGATGCCAAGGACTGCAGTAATTAGAGGACCAATGATTTAATTTCCCATGCTAGCAGAAGGATGCTCAGTTATTGCATCAAAATGTTTACCCTATACTGTATAAAGTGAGAAATGCCTGATATTTAAGCTGGATTCCAAAAAGGAAGAAGCACTCAAGATTATATTGCAAATATATGCTGACACAACACAGCATTCCAGAAGAAGATTGGTCTATGCTTTATATGCTACAGCAAAGCCTCTGACTGTGTGGATCACGAGAAGCTATAAATTGGTCACCCTTCTATGTTGTACATAGGGCTGCAGTAAACCACATATCTGATACAAGGGAGATACTGTTCTTCTAAAAATCTATTCCTAGATGAACCATAGTTTGATAGATATTTTAAAAATGGAATGCAGGAATTGAAATTTAAGAATTTGTTGAGGATAATTGAATTTTCTTATATGATTATATTTTTTAAAATTGTAAGTGGGAAATGCCAAGGGTTTGCATATTTTCAAATCAGATATTATTGCTACCAACATGAATTTGACCAAACTCCGGGAGGCAGTGGAAGACAGGAGGGCCTGACATGCTCTGGTCCATGGGGTCACGAAGAGTAAACACAACTTAACGACTAAACAACAACAACAACAATTGCTACTGCATTGAAACTCAGTCGAGCAAGGCAATTTATTCTATTCAAGGACATAGTTATAACTCACAGATACAATTTATCAAAAATATGTAAGCTCCTATAGTGGTACTGACGAAGAGTAAACACAACTTAACGACTAAACAACAACAACAACAATTGCTACTGCATTAAAACTCAGTCGAGCAAGGCAATTTATTCTATTCAAGGACATAGGTATAACTCACAGATACACATGGTCGGACCATCACCTGATAAAATGTAACCTCGCAATGGAGCTCCCTCCCCCACTGCAGGGAGCAGGGACCTATTTTAATGGTCCGCCCTCGAAGGTTACTGGATCCCATGAGATTCCAGGATACCATGAGAGGGATCCCAGTGGCACTGTCTGGCGCTCCTGTCGAAGCTCTGGTGGACGGCTGGCTCTCTGCCGCTACTAGGGCTGCTGACACGATCGCACCCAAACGCAATGAAGCGAATAAGGAGACGGCTAGAGTGCTTGTGGAGAAGGAAACTGACGGACTATAACAAAATCGCTGTCAGGATCGCAACTAATCATTACCTGGCCAAGGTAAAGGCTGCTAGAAGATCTTACATCGCTGACCGGATAAGCGATGCTTCCAATCGGCAGGCGGAACTCTTCCGTATAGTTCGCGATCTATCCGGAATTGGCCAGGTTGAAGGGCCTCCTA